GCATTGCTGAGTGAGACACCGAGGGACCAGCACTGCTGGGAAAGAGACTGTGAGAGACTCTTGGCTGAGGGACAGTGGGCTGGGAGAGAGACTGAGCGTTCTTCCTGAACTTGAGTCGTAGCCTGGTGCTTCCCTAATAAACCCTGTAATCTGTGAGTTCTGTGTGGCCACTGGAACAAATTATCGAACCCAGGAGAGAGGTGGTGGGTGCTTTGGGAGGAACTGCTGGTGAAAGGGCTGGAGGGAGGCAGCATGTTTGGCCTTGCAGTAATAGGCCTTGGGTTACTGCTTGTAATCCTGTCTTCCTCTTGTGAGATTAGAGGAGGTCAGAACATGTTGCCTCCTCGCCGTTTTTGCAGATGGGGAATGGGAATAGCAAAATTATGTCCAGATTTTATATCCTACATTCATGATTACACAATATTTCAAAGTTAACACTAATATGAGTTATAAAAACAATCACATTATTAGTATTATGCATGTCTATGTGTACACTTACTCACTTCATTCTGTTCATAATGTTTTCTCAAACTCTGATCCATTCCTAGTTATTATTCAACATTCCTCTCAGATCTGCTTCAATGATGGAGCCTACACAAATTCCTATGAATGACATAAAGCCTCACACTTTGAAGATTCACCTTCTGCAGTACCACTCGTATTGTACTCAGCTGTAAACTCCCTTGTATTTGACTTTTCAGGTTTGCGTATCCTCACACCTGACTTTTCTAGGATCGTTAAATAATTAAATGAAATTTCATGCTTAGAAACTGAAAATGATACACATATACACACAACATACACACATTATACACACAAATATACATGTGTGTATGTATAAACATATGTTTATACTCAGCACTAAATGATTAAGGAAATATAACCCATGGTATGAAGAAATTTATGAACTAGTTGAATAGTTTTATACATACACTCTCAATATATATAGATATACATATGTATGCACACAAGTGTGTGTGTGCATGTATACCATAAAAAAATAGTTGCCATCAAGTTGGCCCCAACTTATGGCAACCTCAGGTATGTCAGAGCAGAACTGTGCTCCACAGAGTTACCAATGGCTGATTTTTGAGAAGCAGACTGTCAGGCACTTTGGGAGAACTTAAGTCTTCACCATTTCAGTTAGCAGCTGAATGTGTTAACTATTTTCACTGCCCAAGTACTCTTATGTATACCATGTATGACCTAAGCCAGGGTATTTCCAATAACATCATATGCACATGAGAGCTAGAAAATGAATAAAGAAGATTGCACAAGAATTGATCCATTTGAGTTGGCAAAGAATACTGAATTTACCATGGACTGCTAGAAAAACAAACAAATCTGTCTTGGAGGAAGTACAGCCAGAATGCTCCTTAGAAGCGAGAATTGCCAGACTTCATCTCTTATACTTTGGTCATGCTGTCAGAAGGAGCCAAACCCTGGAGAAGGATATCATGCTTGGTAAAGTAAAGGGGCAGCAACAAAGAGAAAGACCCTCAATGAGATGGATTGACATAGTGGCTGCAATAATGGGCTTAAGCATGACAACAACTGTGAGAATGACACAGGACCTGGGCAATGCTTTCTTTAGTACACAGGGTCAATATGAGTTGGAATAAACTCAATGGGATCTAACAACAACAACATACATGATATACGGTTATATATTATATGTAATATTATGTAAGCTATAAGAATCTCTGGTGTGCGGTGCCTAAGGCATTTGGCTGCTAACCAGAAGACTGGTGGTTCAAACCCACCAGCCACTCCACAGGAGGAAGATGAGGCAATCTATTTCCATAAAGATTTACCATGTTGGAAATCCAAAGGGAGTCGCTATGAATCGGAATCAATTTGATGGCAGTGAGTTTGGTTTTGGTTTGGTATGTATGCCATATATATTACTGTATAATGTTTTAGGCTGGGTTTCCTAGAGAAGCAAAATCAGTGAAACTTATAAATGTATATATATATATATATAGCTTTTTCTCAAAGAAAGAGGTCATATGGTTGAAGAGACTAGCAAATTCCAAGTCCATAGGTCAGATAACAGACTGGAAGCTTCTCCTGACTCATGTAGCTACAAGGGCTGATGAACTCAATCAAGACTGGCAGGTCAGGAGGCAGGCTGCTGGCTCACAGGCTGCGTAGACTAAGGAATCTCAAGATCAGCAGGCAATATAGTAGGCCACTAGTTCAACTTCCAAAAACCAGAGGTCAGACGATGACAACCAGATGTAGTATCCAGAATGAGCAAAAAGCTAGAGAGCTTTGCCAGAATTTCCATACATATCAGACATAGACCATACCCCCCAAGGACACTCCCTTTCAAATGACTGGCCGCTCACATAAGATCTCATCATAGAGGTGATTACATTATACTAAATCTCATCATGACAAGTCATTACGTTATATCAGATCTTATCATGGAAGTGATAACATTATATCAGATTACAAAATGGGGGATGGTTGTATCATTACATAACTGCAAAACTACATCCTAACTGTCAAATCACTGAGTATCATGGCCTAGTCAAGTTAACACACAACCTAATTGCCACATATATAGTATTTTATATATATTTATAATACATTGTGTGCACGTGTGTGTGTGTGTGTACACACAAACTACTCAGCCAGATTATAAACTTCTTTATGATATGGATATCCTATTTCCTTAAGTCAATTCAATACTGAAAATACCCAGGCACACAGT